CCCCCCCCCCCCCCCCGATTGGCAGAAGCCTAGAGAGCTGTGCAGTCATGACAGGTCTGGTGTCCTAGCACAGCCATGCAGGGACTCATAAGCATTGGCTGGACAGGCCATGCTTTGATGAGACAGTCCTGTCAATCCTCTTTGCTTTCTGTTTCTCTCAGGGCTATGAGGGGCTGGTGGAAGGAGGAGAGAACATCAAACAAGCAAATTGGCTGAGCGTCTCAAACATCATTCAGCTGGTAAGGCTCTAACAGCAGCTTTTTTGCTTTCCCTGTGTGAGTGCAAAGGCCTCTTGGTCTCTCTGTTTTTGCTCTGCCACTCATGCACATCTCTGGGCTGAGCTCAGAGCATCCCAATCTCCTGCCACGTTTTCTTTAGGCCACAAGAAATGGTTTTGCACATTGATGCAGTCGTAACATGCAGGGTCTCAGCACAGAATGCCTGGCCCTGGGTGGTGCCAGCTAGATGGGGTCCAAACAGAGTTTGCTGACCAGGGTTTTATACCTCTCTCTGCCTGGTCAGTCTGGAAGAGCTAAGCTATGTTGTAGCTGAGCTAAGAGGCCCAGGCCCTGTGGGGTCAAGAGGCTGGATCCCTCCAGCACATGTTAAACAACAAGCACAGTCAGTCTTATAGACAGATGCTTCACTCTGTCTGTTCCCACTCGTAATCACAGGACTGCAGCTTCAGGGCCTGGGCCTGTGGAGAGGAGGCAGATGTGACTGCACTGCGCAGAGTGTGTTTCTGCTCTGGGCACAGGGTGGCAATGTAAGGGAGGCAATCTCTGTAAGAGGCAGGTCCTCTGGAGGAGAGGTCAGTGCAAGCCCTCAGACACCATGACCAAGATGGGGGAACTCTCTGACTTGCACCTTATCCTCCAGCGAGCAGGAGGGAACCTGCAGAAGGGACAGGATTGGTGGCAACAAGCTCCTTCACCCTGCTGATATGTGATGTTTGGGATTCATCCATCTCCATGCATGCCTCCTTTCCTCCCCTCTTCTCTCCACCCACCGCCACCTCCCTGAGGCAAGAAGTTCATGGCTTTCTCTCTCTCTCTGTTCCCTTTCATAAGAGTGGCTGACCTCCTCCTGGAACATGTCTTTGATTTAATCTGGACTCCCACTTTGTCCCCTCACATGTTCCCCTCTCCTGCCTTCCTGCATCTCAAATCCCAGTCATATCCAGGCCTCCTTATATCCAAATCCTGCATTGGCTTTGGTCTCATCTGCACAGCTTCACCAACCAACATCCTGCAAGCTGGAGAGATGGATGGGGAGATAATAGAGTTTGGCAGTACCTGTGCTGATAGTTCCTCACTGCAGTAAAAATATGCTTGATTCTTTAAAGATCCATGGACCATATACTGTAAGAAGCCTGCTTCAGTAGGCCTGGTTGCAATATTGTTGTCCCTGCTGCCACCCTCTAGTTTGTTCTACAGCCGGGGTTGGAGCTGGGCTGTAGGGAAGTCTCTTGGAGGGACAACTACACGGGAACCCAGACTTCACTCACAGTCTGCAGTATAGACAAGCCTCAAGGTTAAAGGAGCTCTGCTAGAAGGAAAATCATCATGTTTGGGTCCTCTAGTTGTTGCCCTATCTTGCTTCTTTCTGACATATCTGGGGTTTGATGCTGAGTTGAGAGTTTGCTTATGCTTTTTTAACCTCAGAGCTTCTGGACTGTCAAGCCCGAGTCTTCCCTATGGTTTTGCCGACTGTCTCCTTGGAGATTTTTCACAGGGACTGAGGCAGGACTTACGCAAAGGAGTGTCCTGCTAAACTATTAACAGAGCCATCCTGAGGAGTCTGACTTGAATAGATTTCAGCAAAACAAAGGACCAAGTCTTCAGCTGGTATAAATGGGCATTGATCTGTTGAAATCGCATAGTCCATTTCCATTGCAGTCCACCGGGGTGGGTGATTTAGATCTGCTGAGGATTTTGTTTACACAAAGTGAGTAAAAACCTCTGTGAATTTTGTAGCACAACCGTGCTAGTTCACAGAGCCTTTTGGAAATGCCAGGAGTGACAGACTGGGACTTGTAATGTAAAAAAAAAAAACCCAAGCAAATTGCCTACCTCCCTTACAGACACTTCCAAACCCTGGGAGTGCTACGTACTTTTTTATATGTTAAATTGTTTCTTTTTTCTAGCTGGCCTCCTGGGCCTTTCATACACTATAAAAATAGCCCTGTGTAAACCCAGCCATACAAGCTTGTAAATGCCAACTTTGTGCACTGAGGCTGCCCACAGTGCGGCCCTGCTGACCCCGGCAGCGTGTTAACCCTGTTTGAGCCCAGCCAGGATGTACTGCGTGCCAGTGTCAAGGCTGGAACTGCTGTGTGGACAGGACCAAGAGGAGCCAGCTACGCCTGGCCAGACGGGAGCATTCCTCTTTTCTTGGAGCGCTGTCATTCCAAGCAGTGGTGTTTTATTTTTATCCCCTCTCCCTCCAGCTTCCTCCCTGATTTGAGCAGTGCACCTGCCTGCCCTCAGGTAACACTTTGGTACTGCATGTCCCCATGGGTCTCCTCATCTGTATGCTGCTCTTGAACAGCTGCTTCCTTCCCAGAGCACCAGTCTGCAAGCCGTATGTACTCAGCTTGCCACCTGCATTGCTTCAGCTTGGCAGTGCTGGCTGCGTGGTCCCCCTCCCATGGCAGACAGGCTGTGGAGCCTTGCTTAGGAGGGACAGGGGAAGTGATGTGACATTGGTGTCTTAGACATCATCTGTGGAAAGAGCTCTCTTGGTGTACTGTTAACCGTGCTAATGGCATGGCTCCTCCCTTCCCCTACCTTGAATGCAAGCCTTTCCAAAGGAGTAAAATCAATGGGGAAAGCAAAATCTTGAAGTTTGTGGCATTTTGTGTCTCTCTGTCTCCTTTTCCTTCCTTCTGTAATGGTCTTTCTCTGAACCCCTCTGTTATGCATGTGCCCCCCCCCCCCCCCCC